TCTGGGCACTGACCTGTCACTTCTCATTCATTGCTCTGTCCCGTTCTGTACAAGTCTTCCAGGCTTCAGAAGAAGTAATTTCTAAGAAAAAAGTGCAATTCCCGTTGCATTTTTCCCTCCTGTTCTCTCCTTCCTTGGTTTCTTGGAAAAGGAAATCAAAGAAAATTTGGAAAAAAACCCCACTAAGTAAGTTTTCCTAATGTTCCTACTCCCTATTAATATATCAGATCAAAATGCCTTTGGGGAGCTATGGTAAATGAGACTTCTTATGAGAACTGGTGACACATTGAGCACTTTTGCTTTTAGAAGTGGAAGAAAGTTTCAATTTTTTTCTTTTTTTTCTTCTCTGAGTGCTGATAAAATCTGTATCAGTATATAATATAGAACTGTTCTGGGAAACCTTTTAAAGCACTTGAGGATGATCTTCGTGTTGCTGTGCTTAACGTTGGTGCCTGAAAGCAGGTGCCAGAGCCCCGTGAAGGAGCGGGAGGTTCTCCAGTACCTGCAGCTTTGTTTTCCAGTACCTCAGTGGGAGTTCTTGCATTGATTTTTGACTTTTCATAGGTGGCTTAATTTTTTCCAAAGCCGACAATAGTTTATAGCAGGCGGGACCTCTGACAGCGTGGGGCTCGACTTCGTGCATCCGAGTTTGTTGATGTCTCGCTTTTCGTGTGGTCAGGCACAGGGATGCAGGGAAGATGCAAGATTTTGACACTGCCAACCTTAGTAATGAGACGTCTCCACTCAGCCTAGTAGATATTATTCAATATAAATAATGTAATTTATGATAAGAGAACAGGAAATTACAAAGTGTATTAGATTCAAGGAAAGTTCTTAATTTTCCGGCAGCTTGGCAAACTGGTGGCTGCTATAAAATCCATTAAGTTCTTTTGGCTTTAGTGGACCTTTGTGAATTTGGAGGTGAAGGTTTGACTCCGTTTATTCAAACCTTCAATAGTAAAGATCAGATGCTACTCGGACAGTGAAGGTTACGTGCAGAATGCGGTGTGGGTTTTGATAGTGTTTCTGTTCCTCCCAAGTTATGGATTTTTCTCTGGCTGACGTCGGGAGGGCGATGTGCAGCTGTGAGGTGGTGCGACAGCAACCCTGGGCTTCCTTTTCTCTGCTGCTTTCGTGGGAACCTGTGGGAAAGTCATGGCCTTCCTACAATATATGAAGGTGATCGCCGAGAAACTGGCCTTAAGGGTTGGCAATCAGCAGTGGTAGAAACAGAAACGTGTCACCCTACCTCCCTTCTCGTCACAACTTGTGTGGGGCTGTTTCAGGTGTGATTTATGAAAAGCCAGGCAGTAGGTACCTCTGCAGCGAACCTCTGCTGGGTTCCACCCTGCTATTTGACGTGTAGCGTGGTGAAGCAGCTCCCTGTGCAAGGTCAGATTAATCTTTTCTTACGGAGTTTTACATGAATGCTTTGCTTTGGCATTGTTGTTTCTCCATGCATAAATCTTTATTATACCAACAGCCTGCAGCCCCGGCGAACCAAAGCAAAACTCATTTTTATTCTCTGTGGTTTTCGCCACAGCGAGAGAACTCATCTGAAAATTTGCTGCGAGAGTTTCCAGCAGCCACGGTGAGGGTTTAGGTGCTGTGAACCTCTAGCGGGCTGGGGCTTCTCCCTTTTAAATCTGAACGGGATATGCCAAGCTGGGTCTGGCCCCAGACTGGGCATCGTTCCCCTTGGGGTGATAGTGAGGAGGGAACCGAAAGTGAACTTTTGTTGGAAGGTGCTGTGGGCACAGAGGAGCGGGTTGTGCACGTGTCTGGTGGGTCAGGGGACGTGCTGAGGTGCGCAGGCTGCGGTAGGCAGCCAGCTCGGTCGGAAGCTTTGATTTTTTTCTTCCTGGCATGTTGGTTTGGGTTCAGGTAGGATTCTTCTTTAGGGAGAGGTGATAAATGTGCCGATGTGGAAGTGATTGTAGCTTTTACCAGGTGATGAATTTGAACCCTCCACCTTGAGGCTGACCTCACCTCATTTACCTTTGCAATACAAGATGCAGTGGGCGGCCCTGCTGCCTGTGATCTAACAGTGCTCTTTTTGTCAGTGAACGCAAACGGTAAGAAAGCTAAAACTAGAGTTTTTATTTGAAGACCAGAAAGGTTTTTTTCTATGGAGAAAAAGCACAATCCTACTCATCTAGGTTTTGACTTTCTGAGCAGTGTATGTTAATGGAGGCTTGCTGAATGGCTTCCAAAATCTGCAGTGCATGAAAGCAAATTCCCACCGGTAGTAGCTCAGAGGAACCTTTGAGCCTGTGTGGGACCTGGTACGTAGTCATCACTGAGAGGACCTTTATTCTGAGATTTCCTAAATCTTGAGCAATGGCTTCACGACCTTAGCGTCTTTTCTGATGGCAGCGTCGTACCTATCTCTCTAGTATGTACTGAAGGTGGCCTCGCCAGATGGGGCAGTTTAACAGACTTATGTGACTTGGTGTTCCAGGGGAAAACACACTCAAGTAATGAAATATCACATAATTTACTGCCAATTAAGATAAACTTTTAGTTACTGATTCTGGTATTGAGAAATAATGACAATTACCTGAGAAAACACCCCCACTTCCCTCCAGCCACCATTCTTGTCCTTACATCTGCTCCCCACACGTTACACTCAGTCCTGGGCATCAGTGCTGGGCGTTTGCCTTTTTCTGGCACTCCTTTCTTGCTCTTTTTTTTCTTGCTTTTTCATGGATCATGTCTTGGGGAGGGTGACCGGAGGCCATCGGCTCCGAAGGGACGGCAGCGAGGCACCGTGGGCAGGCGGGAGTGCTGCAGGAAGACACTCTGTGGGACGGTTTGCGAGTCGTTTGGACGCACGTGAACGGAGGGAAGGGAGTGTGGGGGCTTTTTTGTGGTTGTAGGCTTTGAAGGTTTTAGCTGCTGAGCCCTTTCATGTCTACTGGATGTGTGAAATGCCGTTTTTTGAAGGCTAATAACTTTCCCACCAGAATCCACTCATAGCTGGGTAAGACCAAAGGCACGTGCCTGAAACGGAGCCACACTTTGTTTCGGGTCCCTGCTCTAACGCTGGAGTGCGAGAGGATTTCATGTTAAGCCACTAGAAATTTAACCTGGGCAGAATAACAGACTTTGCCCTGCTTCATTTTCAGAAATAATTGAAGTGCTGTTTTTGAAGTTCTTCTGAAATCTTTTATCCTTTAGAGAGAAACAAGCACAGAATATATAAGCGTAGGCAATTAACGTTTGGCAAAATTATAAGCTGATGAAATTGGGGTCCCATGGTGGGAGATACGTACAAATCCTTCCTTTGTTCTATAAATTGCTTAATGCAATCCAGGCAATGCCAGTGAATTTCACAGGGAGACAGTGATGTTCTCATGCGCGTTTTGGAAAAGCCATGCATTATGGCTGCGCCAAAAAAGTAGCCCACAGCCAAATAAAATACGGGAAAGTGTTTGTGCGTCTTTACAAAGAGCGATAGGCTTTGTCTTGTTTCAACTGATGCTCCGCAGCAGGCTGAAATTGCAAAAGCTAAAAAATAAGCAAGCTGGTTTGCAAAGCCGTGCAGAAGGTCAGTGCTGGATGGTGATGATATGGAAATCAGCTGGGATCACGAGCGCAAATGAGTTCCGTGGTTCAAAACTGAGCGGTAATTGGATCCAGTATTAGGGTCAGGCAGGTGTGATGATGCTAGTGGTGAAGATTTGGAAACAAACTTTAATTTAAGACTCACAGGGCAAAATGCAACGAGTTCCCTAGAAAGTGTAATTGTACTGGAGGAGAAAGGTATTTTCCCCTTCTTGACCTTTTGCCCTCCATTCTGTTACAGAAATCCATAGGTTCGAAGTTTTGACTTACCAGGCAGTGAAGAAGCTCTGATAAAGCTTTGTAGCTATTAAACTTTCAGAGATTTGCAGCCTTATGGTCGGAGTAAAAGAGACAGTAACTGGTTTTTTCTCCTGGGGATGGCATTTCGATTAAGTCAGTGTTGCTCAGTATTAGAATTCCAGCCTTGCAGGCTGCTAACTGCATGGGCTTTGTGTTAGAGGGAGCAGAACCTTCGCCTGAGCCCAAAAAGTGCCCAGAATTACTCTCTCTCCTTTACTCATCACTGCAAAACTCAGCTTCATTTAATGCTCTCTGACAGGACTCGTTCTGAAGTCTGTGCAATTGCTGCACTGGTGCTTCCGCACACCCACCCGGCATCTGAACCGAAGCGGGGGATACGGTTTTCAGAAGCGTTTGCCATTGCCAGCAGTTCCTCTCACTAAAGTCAGTCAGAGCCGAGGGCTTTAGAGAGTCTACCTGAAATCCCTGTGTTAAAAGTTTTTTTATCCGCTCCTTTGAGCTTTCGACTACTGGGTTTTAGACAGTTGCATGGCTTGTCAGGAGAAAAAGAGATGGACTGGCTTTGCTTTGATGGCTTCGGTACAAATCAGCCTCTTCAAGCTGAAACCCGTGGATGATTTGTGTAGGTACCTGAAACTGCTCCTAAAGCTAACCTGGTATCCAAGGCTTTTGGTGCGCCTCTCACTTCTCCCTCAACTGCCCCTCATGGTTTATGGACCAGGTTACTTTCTCTGGCAAAGAGAAGTCTAAGCTGCAGATTTCACGGTTATCTTGTTAACTGGGAAGATCTGACAGGGAAAAAAGTATAGAAAACCTATCCTGGGAAAAGTCCTCAAGTGTTACCGTTAAACTGAGCGCTGGCCTGCTGGGGGATGGCTCTTTGGGGGGTTTTATGCTGTTCTGCTCAAGTCAGGGTTAGAAATCAGCCATACGTGGGCCCAGATGCTGTTGTGTTTCTTGACTAGTCCTTCACCTGCTTTTTCAGTCGCTGCCATTGCGTGCCTTCTGCCCTGCTGTACCGTGGCAGCTTGGCATCTCGCTGCCGGTACAGCTCCTGCTCCCCACTCTGCGTGTTCTGCTGAATGTACTTACTGTGCATCCAGGAGAAGCTGAAATAGATGTTGACGGTGTTTGCTTTTTGTGTTTTCCCCTGTCCCTTCTTCTCTTGACAGTTTTTTATCATGCTGTTAATTATATTTCTGTTGGAGCTCACCGTGGTGATTCTGTTCTTCGTCTACACTGACAAGGTAAGTCAGACTCTTCATTTTTCTTTCCCCTTCAGCAAATTTTATGCCCCTTTTCCCTATAAATAAATCATGAAGCACTTGGCTTGGTATGCACATCATGCTTCTGTCTTCCCTGAGACACCCCTCTCAGAAGGAGCTCTCTCAGAATGCATAAACAGCCTTGCAGGGCTGGGCTCTCTTGCTTGCTCGGGTGTACAACTCAAGGTCACAGCTATTGCCAAGCACAGCTGCCGCTTAAAAAAAATCACAGACACCAGCCTCCTCACAAAAAGCGAAGAAGGTGACAAGCCTGACTAGGTACGTGTAGGAAGACACACCTGTCGGAACGAATAGGATTTTTAAAAAGTACGTTTGCAATTTAGGAGCCACACGACTGTTGTCACAAAGGAGGTGTCCTTCACACAGGCCAAGACAGTTTTAATTCTGTTTGACCTTTGTTCCTGTGCTTGTTTAGTATACCTGTTGTAAGGGCAAGATTGCCGATCTGAATTATCTTTATCCTTAAAACAACTTTTCTAAATAACCACAAATCTTACCTGACTAAACCCCAAACATGGCCATAATTGTGCATAACCTTCCTATTCAATGAAAATTGTTAACTGAAGTCTCTTGCAGCTGAAGACTAAGGGAGCTTGAGAATCACACGGTAGGTGGCCAAATTTTGCTGTGAATTAACAGTCATCGGGTGTGTGACCGATAAACAGCTGCTTCTGGAATGAAAAAAAAACAAAATAGCAACAAATAAATAAGAATAATGACACAAAATAGCCAAATAAAATGAAGATAACAGTAGACCTAGTTATATTCTGTATGTTTAGCAATAACCTGGACAGAGAGTGAACGACAACATTACTTTCTAGAAAGGCTCCAGATGAAAGAATGAATGAACCCTGAGTGGCTGTCAGGTGCACTGCTGAAGGGCTAGAAAGAAGCAGGCTGCCGGATGGCATGCTGTAACTGGAACATGGAATTAACTTGCAAGGTAATTAAAGTAGAAGGGGCAAATTAAAATTACTTGTATGCATTATTGGATTCCGAATTACTGCTAACCTCTTGGGAGAAGGATCTACACGTCACACGTGACAGCTTAATGAAGGCGTCTACTTAATATGCAGTGGGCCTCCAAAACCCAAATACAACACTTGGCTGTGTTTAGAGAGGGAATCACTTAGAAAATATTACATGATAATTGTATAAATTGACAGACTTGCCTCACTGTGAATTTTATGTTGGGTTGTGATTACAGAAACAAGTAGAAGCACTGGAAAGGTGAGCGAGAGCAGTCACAGAGTCCCCTGATTCGGTTTGGGAAAGGAAACAAATCCTCTGCTTAAGAGATCTTAAAAAGAAAAATTACAGCTCTTTCTAAAATACTTCCATACTAAAGACCTGTCCTGAGCACAGGAGAAATACTTGAAAACATGGAGTAGGTTTAAAATCTCAGTGTTCCTTATTCTGCATGTCATCGTCTTGTAGACTTCCCTGGTGTTGGCTGTTGTTGACGCAGATGGTTTGATAAATATGTGGGCATGAAGGAAAGGGAAAAAACCCCCAATGAAATGTTTTTATTCATAAAGCAATCACTGCTGTTATTTTGTGAAGTGTGTCACAGAGAGTGTTCATCCTCACTCTTCAGAGCTAAAAGTAGTGAAAAGTGTCAGGAAGGATTCCCTCCCTCCTTCCGCACGTCGGTTTGCACTGGTTTTTATTTGTTCTTATTGAAGAGATCAGGACATTTAATTGGCCTCTGAGTTGTGTGCTAGAGGTGGATGCAGGAGGTACACTACAGTTGTCTGGAGGATCAAAACAAAGTAAAATACAGGCTCTGGTTCAAGTCCGGTTTCACCGAGCGAAGAAGTTGCTGCAGTCCGTGTGTTCCGCATGATGGGAGTTGAGGCTCTTGATGCTCCTGTATGAGTTGAAATCCACAGTCTTATACTAAGGATATGGGTGGTTTGTGTGTGTGTTGCACTTAGAGCCCTGCCTACAGAATAAATGAAACGGCAGCTGACTAAAACTGGTGTTTGCTCACAGCACACTTGGAATGTGTGTGCTGCCTTTCCTGGTGTGAGGAGCAGCATTGCCCCGCGTCCTGCTGCGGGGAGGGAGCTTGCCCAGACTAGTAACTCAGTTAACGCGGTTCCGGGGACAGTCCGTGAAGGAACAGTCTACACTAATGCTTGCACCTCAGAAGAAAGCAGCGTCAATTTTGCATGCAAAAGCAGAAAAGGACTCTGCAAGATTAAGACTTTGGGGGCTCCTGTGTCAGTGAGGAATAATAGATACATAGCTATAGATAAACTCAGCCTGTTTTTTCACGTACCTGCTAACCTTTTGCTCATCAGGAGTGTATCTGAGGGATTTGAGAGAGTGAGCTGTGCCCACGGCAGGGCTGGCTGTGCCCTAACAGCGGCTCCCCAGGCAATGATGTTCTTCCGCTCCTGCTGTTGCGTGGGCACAGAGGCCGCCAGTGGGTGTGTGTCTGGGTGCGTGTGGACACCACACACAGGCTCCCGAGCTGGGAAGCGTTCTCTCTGTGTTGTCAGAACTGTTGCTTTAGTAGCGGGTTAATTCTTAAAAGGCTTCCAGACGAAAGCTCTCTCCAGCCAGTCACGGGCAGGGTTTCGGCACAGTGCTTTTCTTCTTTTGCTGCGGAGGAGTGTGCAGCTCTGGAGGTGGGCAGGACCAGCTGCTGGGACTCAAGGCAGCCTAGACTGCCTTGTCCTCATCCGTCAGCTTGGGAGAAACCCAAAATTCCCTTTTCCTCTCATTGTAGTGACTTGGCAGCAGCCTCTTGGAGCTTTTCCACAGCCAGCTTGCTCCCATGTCCTAGAATGTCATCATTCCTTTTCTTGACGGAGGAATATTTGTCTTAATCTCATCAGTTAAATGCTGCCCTGCACTTTACAACTCTTTCTCTGAACTGGCTATGTGCTCTGTGGGAATGGGATGAGGAAATGCGTTCCTACAGAGTGGTTGTCAGGAAAATTAGATAGAGCTTTCTTCTGTTCCCAAAGCTGCAGAGCAGCTGGGTCACAGGCTGTCTTCAGCTCAAAGCGGGCACCCCAGGGACTTGGGAGCTCTTAGTGGTGTTTGTGCCTGTTCATGTGCAAGTTCCCAAAGTGTAGCTTTTTATTTTTTTGAAGGCAGAAATACCAGCCTGGGAGAGGTGAGTTTGTGTGATTGTGACAACGAAGGCAGGTTGTCGCCATTCGGAGAGCACCGTTTTTGTCAGGAGAAGATTTATGCCCCTGTGTGAAGCAGTCCCGACTCCAGTGACATTGCCAGAGCCATGTGAACGCCACCCAGCTGTAGCTTGAATATCCTCTTAATACATTTTATTTTGATGCCTTTAGTACAGAACAGTGTTTGACGTGTTTTTATGAACTTGCCACCCATCTGTAGCTTGAATATCCTCTTAATGCATTTTATTTTGATGCCTTTAGCACAGAACAGTGTTTGACGTGTTTTTATGAACTGGTGATCTCTGTGTGGGGCTCTGTATGTATTTGTAAGACATCATAGATTACTGATAAGGGTTAACCTTAGTTTTATTGTGATAAAGAGAGAAGTTTGTTTGTTTGGATGTCTGCATCTTTTTCTGATCTATGGGCAGAGCTGTGCTGCCTCTATTTAATGCCCACAAGTGGAAGAACATAACTAAACCACCATAATGTGCTTGTTTTTTCTTTTCCTTTCTCTTTTTGAAGTGTCAAACTGAGTAACATAAGCCAGTTTAAGGAGCAAAAGCACTGAAGGATCACTGACTATGGTATTTGATTATGGGAGCAGTTACTGCAATTGGCAACTCAAAGTTAAGACCGGAATTTTCAATGAAGACTCGGCCATTAACTCGCTTGGAGTCCCTGTGAAAATTACAGCCTGAATGCCATGCCTGCTTAGCTGTGTTGAAAATGGCCCACAGAATGGTAGAGGATTGAAAAATAATGGCTACTTTCTGTTTTTCATGAGATGTGTGAAAATGCTCTCGTTTTACGTGTCGCAGTAAATTGTAATGAGTTCCTCTATGGCTTTTACTGCTGGCTTGTAAAAAAAATACGGTCTGTAGATTCACGCGTTTCTTGCTTTGTTTCTCAAAACATTTTACAAATCATTGTAATTCCTCATGGGTATTTTGCCTGGTCCCATGCAGATTCGAGACAGCAGACTGGAATGTAACAGGTACGATTTCAAGCATAGCTCAGTCCTCACAACCTCTTTCACGTTTGGAAAACCTGAATCTCTTCCACCTTCTGCGTTCGTGAGCAGTTGCTCACAGAAATGAGCTGGTGCTGCTGAGTTGCTCGCCTTCCTGAGGAAACGGCTCACAATCGAACTGAAGAAAGGCTTTGTGCAGAAGGTTTAGATATTATAGAGCTTAAAACTTTTCTGTGTTTGTCCTTGCCAGAGCTCCAGCCGGGCGGGATTTCTGCTCAGGTCCCAAAACGCCCCGTGTTTCCTACTCAGCCTAGCACACGGGGCTGTCTGAGGCACGCGCGCAGATGGTGCTAAATCTTTTTGAAAATGAAGAAACGGAGGCTGAGGTGAAGGGACAAGGTCATCGATCTTGTATGCAGTTCCCAGATGGTCTCGGGTTGTTGGAAAGCAACAGGCTTCAGAAAACCCGGCAGAACTGGCAGGGGGGTCGCTTGGCACCTCTCCTTTGCCTTTTCT